ATTCTTTACTTAGTCCTGTGTTTGCTATGAGATAATGGCACATGATTTAACTCTTGCTATATCCCAGTTTCTACATTTATATGAAGGGAATTAAATAACCCTCATGGGGTGACTGGTGAGCCTCAGACGCAGCAGTATGTAGGACAGACCCTGGTGCAGGCTCAGTGAGGTTTTGCTCTTTTACCTCCAGGGACTGTGACAGGGGACAAGCTAGACTGAACAAGCCCATCAAAGCAAATTCTCAAAAATCAGTTGCCCCCCGTTCCATAGCTCACCAAGTGCTCTTAGACAACCAAGACAATCAATGAAAGGAATTGTAACTGTGATATAGGAAAGAGCACTCTGAAAACTCAAACTAGAATAATGGGAAGAAAAGCCTGCCCCTACATTAAGGACAGTGTTCACTACTTCACCGTAGTTAATCAAAGCCTCATCCTCTAGAAAGCTTCGCAGGACTGTCATTGCGGTTAGCTGTTTCAGTGCATGAATCTGTACAGCTGTTGAGTCACCAAAAGCAAACAACTGCTTTAAATTGTTTTATTCTATAACTTCCTTTGTTGTTATCTTTTTTTTAAGATTTTATTTATATATTTGATAGACACAGCAAGAGAGGGAACACAAGCAGGGGGAGAGGGAGAGGGAGAAAGAGAAGCAGGCTTCCCGCTGAGCAGGGAGCCTGATTCAGGGCTCTATCCTAGGACCCTGGGATCATGACCTGAGGGGAAGGCAGACGCTTAAGGACTGAGCCACCCAGACACCCTCTTTCTTCCCTTTTTATTTACATGTACTTGGGCATTGTGGATTTTTCCTCCTCAGAACAGCTGTGCTAGATTATTTCCACTGGAGCTCAGTGAAAGCGAGGGACCTAGCCGCCAGAAGCATGGTGGGCATGTGAGACCCCTGTACCTGCAAAGCTCTGGTAACAGTGCTCTCCCTAGCTTGCAGCCAGATAGAGAACTAGAACCCAAATCCTGCCATTATTATAGCTTCCTTGGGTGGGTGGGGAGGGAGTTCTCTTTTTCTTCTTTTTGATATCGGTTATATTTGTTTTCATCAGCCACTAATCTGATTAATTCAATCCAACAGTGTGTTTAATGCGTGCTGGGAAGAGAAACTCCAAAGATGAATGTTGCCCCCTGTTTGTAGGGTACGCACAGGGTAGCCAGTGATAGTGTGGGGAGGGCAGCCACATAACCAGTGGTCCCTGCGGATTCACGCAGAGATGGGCCCAGAAGCACTGACCGGACGAAGGTTTAAGGAATAGAATCAGCCCTATGGGCATGCTCTGATCCTAGGCCAATTTCTGCCTTCGGTGTACTTTTAGCAAAGATCTATGCATACTTCAGTTTGCCAGGGGCAAGCACAGGAATGCCTCTAGAGGTCTGAAGATTGAGAAGCGAGGGCCTGATCATATTTCTGTGTGAGGAGGGACACGAGGCTGGGGGTGATGCTGTCAGGGGCCCTGCTTGGGGAAAACCAGCTTGAAGAGGTGGCGTGGCTTTCCCGAGATCTGGGCCTCTTACCCACCCACCTTGCTTAAACTCTCTGAACCTCAATTTCCTCAGATACCACATGGAAATAATAATACCTTGTAATACCTTGTGCAGTGTAATTACCACCTATTCTGTGCACACATATGCTGACACACTCAGTTACCTTTCATTGGACGGTAGGGAGGGAGAAGAGGAGCAAAAAGGGAAGGTGGGGAGAGAGAAGCGCGGGGAGGACTGGAAGAAAGGCAGGCTGAGATCGCCTTCAGTGGTTTATTTCAGTGCTTCTGTGATTTTGAGCAGCTGACATCCTTTCCCTCTCCCCTCATCTCCCCCTTTTAAAACCTTACCTTAGGAATATAGTAATTTTTAAACATCACATCTGTGGTTGTTGCATGAGGTAAGCTTGTGGCCAGGATATTAGCAAATTTCTGTACTTCAGAATGACAGGATCTGTGTATGGCATTTGAGTTCGATGTGCAATTCGAGGCTGGGCTGACCCCACAACTTTGGTGATCTCATCACAAACCTTTTCTGGATAAAATGCACTGATTAGAGGTGGGGGGAGAGATATCGGAACAATCTCTCAGTTTTCCTTCCATGTGAAAATCAAAATGCTCTCTGAGTTCTGACCCATTTTTTTCTGCACTGTTTGCACTCCTAGATCTCTACTCCTGAGGCCCCGCTGAGGACCTGCATGGAGTGACACCTGCAAAGAGTGACACACCTGTAGACCGTCTCAGGAAACTTGGAGAGCAAAATCTACTTTCTTATGTCCAAAGGAAACTAAAGTACACACTGTCCTCAAGGGTATAAATTAAAGGTATCCAGGGTGGCCACAGAATTCTGCTTTTTCCATCCCAAGAGATTTTTGAATCCTTCCTTCAGGCAATGCCCTGAATCTTAAGAGACTTGCTCTGGACTTCAGGATATCGCAACATGAGCAGTAGTGCCCAGTGTAGCGTGGAGGCTGTGGTCTCTGTACCAGCTGCAAACAGGTTACTAACGAGTGCCACCAAATTTTCATCACTGAGATAGGCAGTAGATGTATCTTTCTCCTGAAAGGGGAAAAGGAATCATGAGTGATGAAAAAATGTTATACTTGACAATCATAGCAGATAACCTAACATGAATTGAAAAAGCAAAGAGCTTGCCATTCTTTCCTCAATAGAGTGAATTTTTTTTAATTTTTATTTATTTATTTATTTACTTTTATTATGAGGATGTTGTGCAGAATTTTCAAATAAAGCACATCCTGGATGCTAATGATGATAAATAATTCTAACAATGGGAAAAGCTGTTTGCTTTTCCCATTTTGGAAATTAGTTTTTGACTGAGTGATTAGAATGTGCCCAACATTGTTTCTTTAAAAAAAATGGCATTAAATAATCTTTCTTGGGTTAGTCAACTGAAACACATTTTCAAGATTACAATAAAAGGAATGCTGTACTAATTCTAAAAGCTAACATTCAAAGTCTTCTATATGTCTTGTTTTTTTTTTTTTATTTTTTAAGAGAGTGATGTGAAAAGCAGTGGAAAATATTCGAGAATGGAAAATGTAGTAAATAACATTCTTGGTAGGGTACAAATCTACCATTACTAACTTAATTGAATCCAATGATTTTTCTTCTTTGCAAGAAATATTTTTCCTCCAGATGCTATTAATTAAACTAAATAATAAAAAATACGATAAGGTAATACCATTACCTCCTGCTGTCTGACCAAAAAGGCATCAGTGAAACTTCTTGGATCATTTTTGTCAATGTCATGCTGATGATCTAGGAAGGTCATCCTTATAAAAGCAAATAATTCATCTCTATTCCTGAGTACTGTCTTGTGACTTTTTAGGAGGAACCCCAAAGCTGGAAACATATTGAAAAGCTGAAGAATAAAAAAACACAAAGTAAGTTAAATACACACGTCATGCATGCAGTAGTGGGAATGACACCATTGTTTCTGGAAGGATTATAGAATAGCACCCCATTTAGACTTCAATTTTATCTCGACTAGCTGGCAGACTGGCCCGGACAACATGATTTCCTCACTTAGTGGAGTTAGGTAACTTACAATGGATATTGGTATGGTTTATAGTAAGTTCTATGTACCCAGAGTATTTTGTATATTATGCCGGTAGTAACACATCTACTCAGAGGTTAGGCGAGACATGAAAACAATATTGGCTTTTTGGTTAAGGCTATAAATCTAAGGTTTTTCCTGCAAACTCTTAGGTGATTCCAGATCAAACCATTTTAGTGCTATGTAGCACACTCACCTTACCACTGATGTTTCTTTGTAGGATCGGAATAATTATTTTTGTCATTTAGATCTAGCTTACTGTGTCTAGGGTCCCTAGAGAAGCACCATATAATCTAATATTCCCTAACCCTTAGAAAGTTCAGCAAGAACTTCACTGTTGGCTAAATTTGGTGTGTTTCTCGGTATATTCATGTATGTAAAAGATAAGCTCTTTACATATTTTATCAGATTCTCAAAGGGGTCCCTAACCACCCAAGTGACCTAATAAATACTGAAGATAAAAGGCCACACCTAAAGTTAAACATAGTTGGGCACCTGGGTGGCTCGGTCGGGTAAGTGTCAGACTCTTGGTTTTAGCTCAGGATATGATCTCTGTGTCCTGGGTTCAAGCCCTGTGTCAGGCTCCCTGCTCAGCAAGGAGTTGGCTTGAGATTCTCTCCCCCCCCACCCCCCGCCCCCACTTGCATACTTGCTCGCACTCTCTATATTTCAAATGAGTAAATAAATAAAATTATTTTAAAAATTCTGTTTAAGGATTGAGCTATTTATGTACTTATTTTTAATTTATTTAAATTCACTTAATTAACATATAACGTATTATAGGTTTTAAAGGTAGAGGTCAGTGATCCATCATCAGTCTTACATAACACCCAGTGCTCATTACATCACATACGCTCCTTAATGCCCATCACCCGGTTACCCCAACCCCTAACCCCTGTCTCCTCCAGCAACTCTCTGTTTCCTAAGATTAAGAATCTCTTATGGTTTGTTTCCCTCTCTGGTTTCGTCTTATTTTTCTCTCCCTTCCCCTATGCTCCTCTGTTTTGTTTCTTAAATTCCACATGAGTGAAATCGTATGATAATTGCCTTTCTCTAATTGACTTAAAAAAAAAATAGACATAGTTCCCTGTTCCAGGGTTCCCCCGCACCTATACTTAGAGTAAACCTGTACTTGTAGTTACAGGACCTAAATTATTCCAAAGTGAAATAATATTGTCCATGGTCAGTTGTGCTACTGAAAATGGGAACTGGGGCCCCTGGGTGGCTCAGTTTGTTAAGCGTCTGCCTTCAGCTCAGGATGATCCCAGGATCCTGGGATTGAGCCCTGCACTGGGCAGGGGAGCCTGTTTCTCCCTCTCCCTCTGCTCCCCCTGCTTATGCTCTCTCGCTTTCTCTGTCAAATAAATAAATAAAATCTTAAAAAAGAAAGAAAGAAAGAAAGAAAGAAAGAAAGAAAGAAAGAAAAGAAAGAAAGAAAATGGGAACTATATGACAAGGCACTTAGTCCCTACATTCTAGAAGACAGCAACTTTATTGCTCACAAATATAAAAAATTGGTATGTAGCACTGTTTTGAACTTAAATGATGCAGAATAAATATTAACATTTTATTTAGTACTGTTTTTAGTACTTGATAGTTTTCCTTTGTTTAAATTCCCTCTTCTAAGTGAATTCTACTGAGTGTTCCTTATTCATTCATGGCTTATCCCACAGTTGATGCATAACCAGTGGTATGGGTAAAAGATGAATGGCCAAAATTGTGAAAATTTACTGAAGTCACAAACTGAACTATTTATTGGTGTGATTCACAATCCATACATCATAAAATATTTGATGCAGTAATTTTTTTAAAAAGATTTTTGTTTATTTACTTGAGAGAGAGAGAGAGATCATGAGCAGGGGGGAAAGGTAAAGAGAGGAGCAGACTCCCCGCTGCGCAAGGACTCCATCCCAGGACTCTGGGATCATGACGTGAGCCCAAGGCAGATGCATAATTGACTGAGCCACTCAGGCAAGCTGATGCAATAATTTGTGATGGGAGAATTATCAGATGTGTTAATCAAACAGGCTTGTCACATCTCCTCAGGATGTTCCAGAAAGTGTACATTTTTGAAATGGTAAGTCTCTTACAAACACTTTTTCATGGTCTCTTGAACAACCTAATGTGCGTTAGAAGAAGTTAAGATGATTGAATGGGAAGATATAGTTACTGCAATCCTAGGACATCCAACGAGCTTCACATTTTCACCAATCAAGGTTGAGAGTCTCAGGAATTGGGTGTCTTGGTAATCCAACCGTCTTCCAAACAACACTGACACAATAACATTACCAACAGAAGCATTCATTACTGTTTTGACCTCAAAGGGCTTTCCTACAAGAGAATTCATTAATCAGATTAGGAATACTCACATAAACAGTATTAAACCAGTTTTGGAACGATGGGGACAGACTGTCCACTAAAGATTTCATAGAGGAGCAAGATTATTGGTGACCATGACTTTTAAGGAAAGGTGAGACTAGATGAACCTTGAAAAATATCTAGAATTTGGTTAAAGGATTGCCGGAAGGCAAACTAAAAGTATAGGCGTCAAAGAAAATCTACATTTGGCTCAGTTAAAGAAATTAAAATGTGCCAGGTGAGGGCCATTTCAGTGTGCGTATGTGTGTGTGTAGCAAGTGTTAACGCATAACATCTGAGAAAATATCAACCTAGAAGGCTACCATCAAGTTCATAAATTTAAAAGAGGATATCTAGATGATTAAATTGATTCTACTTAAAAGACCCTCATCTAGAGCCTCTTGTTTTAGCCTCTTCTGTTACTGGGACCTGTTTTCCTCAGCATCATTGAAAACTATTTAGATCATTAAACATACATTAGTGGATGTACACTTATTTTTGGCAACCAGAATGCTAAGATTTACTTTTAACATGAGCACCTACCTTAATGTGGAGGCTGAAGACTTGGGGGAATTTCTGTAGGGAATATGTTTCCTTTTTAGCATATAAATGTAAGGGTGTTTTAGATACTGTGTACACAAAGACTAGAGAAATTAATGTTTGTTAGGAGCTTAACACTGCAGAGGGAAAAGATATTTTCCTCTAAGTACTTTCTCCAAACTGCTGATGGGCTCTCTCTCTGTGTACAGCGATGGCTAACTTAGCACATGGGTCCCCGAGCTTTCTGTTTCTTGTCTGTATTCATCTCAGGTTTGCCTGCCTTTGACCATTTCTCTTCATGTTGCTACCTGCATGAAGATAATATTCACATGGACATTTTTTAGTTAGGAATGAGCTCAATTTATTAAGGAAAATAGAAATTAAAATATTAGATAGATAAAATATTAAAATAATATGGAATTAACTGTATATCATTTAGGAGATCAGAAATACACCTGTTACTGAAGAACTGTTCCAGATGGAAGGAAGCAAAAGAGACATGACAAGTGAATGTGATGCATGGGTCAGGATTTTCTTTTGCTATTCAGGGCATTAATGGGACAATGGCAAAATCTGGCCAAATAAGTTTAGGCATTTACTGAGTCAATACTAATTTCCTGAGTTTCGAAAATCGTACCTTGGGAATGTGAGAGAATGTGTTTATTTCAAGGGAACTCATTGAAGTGTTTAGGAATAAAGAGAGAGCATGTCTCCAAAGCACTTTCAAACAGCTTAGAAAAAGAGAGCAAGAAAGAAGGCAAAAGTAAAATGCTGACATTTGGGAAATCTCACAGAAGAGCATGATTTGGGGAATTATTTGTAAATTCTTAGAATTTTCCTACAAGACTGAAATTATGTCTACGTAATAAAATTCAGCATTTGGCTTCTTCCTCATGAAAATAAGACGTGGTTTAATTCATTCTACACACCTCTGTGAGACTCAAAGCTGCGTATGAGATTCTGGCATTCCTCTACGATCCTGTCTTCCATGAGCTGCTTGCCCATTCCAAAGTTCCGTAAGGTGGTCAGGCTGAATCTTCTCATAGTTTTCCAAGTTTCACCATGAGAGAAGACAATTCCTTATAATGAGTAAAGTGTTTGAAAATTATTTCTGCAAGGTTTTTAATATTTAATTCGCAAGGACAAGTAAAAATTTAAGAGAGGCTTTATTCTCCCTGTTGAAAGTAAGAGGCTTCTCTTTCACTCAGAGCATTTACTTTAGAAGACTTGTATTTTTCCAGTTTTTAAATCATATATAGATAATCATATCAAACACATATGACGTATATCACATATAAGTCCTTCTGAAAATATGAATAGGTCTTTTGTCAACGTTGTGACCTAGCAATGGCTTTCTTGGCCACCGGGGGCCATCTGTTTAGAATATAAACATTGAGGAAGAGAGTGCCCCTTTCTCCCAGTTTCTGTGTGAGGGTAGGAGCCTCACTTTGGTGGGTGCCTTGCCCCAAATTGCAAAACTACCTCCTATCATAAAGGTATGAGGACTTTATTATTCTTTTGTATACAGACAATTAACACAGATGGTCACGCTGATTACTGGGTGTATCTAGGATGAACTATGGGTGACAAATGGTGCTGTTAAGCCCTCTTGTTATTGAGGACTAGTTATTGTTTTCCTAGAGAACATTTTTGTAATGGGTTGAGTCTGCTTCGTTGTATAACAGAGTGAGATTTGTTTTTGTCTTTGCAATTTCTTAGTGGATTGTCTGTGATACACATCCCATCTTGGTTTGATGCTTATTCAACAATAAAATTGTTTTCTTTTTCTATTACGTTTGTGGAGAGGAGGATTTCTGGGTTGGGAGAAGATTTCGGTTTTAATTCTATTTCTCTGACAAATTCATTAAACAAATCCTGAGTCTCTATTATATGCTTACATCATGCTAGGTGTGTAGTTAAGGGACTGATGAACATTAGAAAACAAAGTCTTTTTTGCTAAGGAAAAGTGTGGACTACAGACACAAGACTCACCCGAGAAAAAAGTTAGGAGTAAATAATTACCAAGAGGTGTAGCCAAGCTTCCACACTGGTTCTCTACATTCTAATTTCTAGTCACACGTGTTGCTGTAGCACAGAGTAGGTGTGTGATAAATATTTATTAACTACAACAGCTATGTGAATTTGTGCATGGCTAAAGGAAATAATAAACAAATTCTTAGAAGAGTTGGGATATACGCTAACTTACAGAAAAATAAGGAGAGAGAGGATTGCCAAAGTGGCCCATATTTTTCCACGGTCAGTTTGTGGTGACGGTGACATTACTCCTTGTGTTTCAGTCCCTAGCCCTGGCCCTTCCTCCACTGGCATTTTTCTCATTTTTCTGTGGAGGTTCCAGAGACAGGGGAGGTCTTTCTGAGTTGGAAATAGGAATAGTTTCCTAAAATAAGAAATCAGAATAAACTAAGGCAACCTAGGTGTTGGAAATGGGGCGGTGCCATCCCTGCCAGTGTCAGCATGAAATCCAAAACACCGAGAGAGATCTCTCCTGTGCAGCTGTTGCCCCTTCATGGGAGGATAAGCCTTCCTTTGAAAGGACACTGGCAAAGGTTAGATTCTGCTCACGTTCAGTTCTTAAATTAATAGAATGTCATTCTGTCTGTGGATACTGTGGTGCATAAAACTCTTTTGTAACAAATATGTGACTCTTCAAACTATCTCATGTTAATATTCAAAGATTTACATTTGAGAACACAGTAGTAGAACATGAAAGGCCCACAGATGTCCCTGTATCTTTCAGGACATAGTGATAGTCCAGCCATATCATTGTGGAGAACATCAATTTAGCAATATAAGGAATGGAAGTTTATTTATTTATTTGTTTACTTTCTTACTTATTTATTTATCATTTTTTGAAGATTTTATTTATTTATTTGACAGAGATGAGAGAGCACAAGCAAGGGGAGCAGCAGAGGGAGAAGCAGGCTCCCCACTGAACAGGGAGCCTGATGCAGGAATCAATCCCAAGACCGTGGGATCAGGAGCTGAGCCAAAGCCAGATGCTTAACCAACTGAGCCACCTAGGTGTTCCTAGAACTTCTAAAAACTGGCACCCGGGGCGCCTGGGTGGTTCAGTCGATTAAGTGTCTCTGCCTTCATCTCAGGTCATGATCTCAGGGTCCTGGGATTGGGCCCTGCATTGGGTTCTCTGCTCGTTCAGCAAGAAATCTGTTTCTCCCTTATCCCTCTGCCACTAGCTCTTTCCCTACTTGTGCTTGTTCTCCCTCTTTCTCAAATAAGTAAAATCTTAAAAACAAACAAACAAACAAACAAAAACACAACCTGGCACCAAAGTTTAAAATATATGTAAGTTACATGGCAAAATATTAAGATGAAGTAATATTCCAAAATGGTCTAATGCTAAAGAAAATATTAAATTTTTCCTCTATTTATACAAGATTGGTTTAAAGAATGCTTTTACCCATTTGGGTAGATTACTAGACAGGGTGTGGGGTGGAGAACTAATCATTTTCTCTTTGAACAAAAAGTAATTTTCCTATGACCAGTTAAGTCACTTAAAAAGAAAGACTACTTGATACTTAAAATGATTTGCTGAGGAAAACACTGTTAGATTTGATATTAATATAAATTAAAACGATTTTATGTATAATCATAGCATCAGTGAGTAATATGCAAAGTCTTATGAAAAAAAGCAGAAATGCCAGAGGGAAGAGACAAAACGTGTCCCCGATTTCTAGAAGGAATAGAAGAAGATAGAGGCCAGGTGCTAAAGACCAGGGACTGAATGATCTGTTGTTCTTCAATGCTGATTTTACGAGATGTTAGTAGGAATTCTAAGATAAAGAAATGTAGGGGCACCTGGGTGGCTCAGTGGGTTAAAGCCTCTGCCTTCGGCTCAGGTCATGATCCCGGGGTCTTGGAATCGAGCCCCACATCAGGCTCTCTGCTTGGCAGGGAGCCTGCTTCCTCCTCTCTCTCTCTGCCTGCTTCTCTGCCTACTTGTGATCTCTATCAAATAAATAAATAAAATCTTAAAAAAAAAAAGAAATGTCTCAAGGACTGTTGTAAATGTATGTGTGTGTGTGTGTGTGTGTGTGTGTGTGTGTGTGTGTGTGTGTAGTTCAATAGAATATTACTCAAGCATATAAAAGAGTGATATCTTGCCCTTTGCAACAATATGGATGGAACTAGAGGGTATCATGCTAAGTGAAATTAGTCAGAGAAAGACAACTACCATAGGATTTCACTCATAAGTGGAATTTAAGAAACAAAACAGATGAACATATGGAGGGTGGGGAAGAGAGAGGGAAACAAGTCCTAAGAGACTCTTAACAGTAGAGGACAAACTGAGGGTTGATGAAAGGAGGTTGGGGGGGACCTAAATGGGAGATGGATATCAAGGAGATGCTTGTAATGAGCACTCATGTTGTAGGTAAGTGATGAATCACTGATTTCTACTCCTGAAACCAATATTACACTGTATGTTAACTAATTAGATTTCATGTAAAAAGAAAAAAAAAGAAATGTTGCAAGGACTTATAAGTGTGAAGACTGAATTAAATAAAAATATGTAGACTTTGGTGTTTTTCTCAGAGGTTTTAACATCCCATAAGGCACTCCAGGAGTTCAGAGAGAGGCCTTTATTATGTAGTTTTCTCAAATTCACTTCACTGACACTGGTTTTTGCATAGAACATCTATTAATATCTCAAAGAACAAGATGTTGGAGAAGGATAGTGTGAGAAATGCTTTTTCAAAACGTTGTTGAAGCATTAAAATGGCTTAGTAGTATTGACTAGATACCAATATCAGTTTACTAAAAATAATGTCAAGATGAAACCATTCCCATTTTTAGAGTTATTAAATGAGCATTAAATGGTTATTGTAATAACTTAAAGAGTTATTATATTAGTGGACTGACATAACAGTATAGCATCTGGATTTCCTCAAGGCATTTATCTAAGACACACAAAAGCAAGATACAACAACTTTATCCAGCTGAAAATATGGTCCAATATTATTTATAACACTACTGCTATTGTATTTTTTGATGGATCAGTGGCAATCATTAGACTGTGACCTCTTAAGCTGATAGCCTCTGTTCTCTTTGTATTTCCCTAGTGCTGACTATACTTTCCACATAGTTTCTGGCTAATAATTACTTGTTTAATAGAATTATAATGCTCAATGAGAATAAAACCATAAACATAAATTTTCCCCTCAGTAAATTCTATTTGTGTTATGTATATTGATGAAGGGAAAATTAAATCATGAAAGGAATTATTAAAGATAATATGGTGCAATTG